TTTTTTTTTTTTTTTTTTTTAAGGTAACGGACAATGATACATGGTGTGTCTTATTGGGTTCATTGTTCGTGTCTTACTGATTTTAAACCTAATCACCATCTACATTTCAACACATTCAATGTCAACGATCTTTGGGTTGTCTCGATGCATTTATTGCTCATGTCTGCCTAGTATAAGTTGAACCGTCCACATTTCAGCGGACCGATTTGTCGAATCCTCTCAGACAGAAACCAAATAACCACATCTAGTAGAGACGACGGGGGGGAGACATGGAAGCCTTGATGGTAAGACTTCCAACGTTCTGCCAGCCCTTCTTGAGAAGAGAGACAAGGTAGTTAATGGCCAACATGACGTTAGCTACGAGTTGCTCCTGACGTGAGCGTTAGCGAGCGGTCCCTAGGGAGGAATAAGGGGTTAAAACATACGGTGGTCATCTCAACGTTGCCGACGGCGACACCCATGCAGAGAACCTTCTTGAGCTGGAACTTGATGGTAGACTTAACCTCGTTGATACGGCCTTGGTGGTCATTAGTTGTTATTCATTCTGGTCTTGTAATGGTAAACAAACCTGAGAGATCATCGGCGTGAGAAACGGGGGTAGGGAACTTTCCGGCCTTGGAAAGACCAGGACCCAAGAGACGAGGGATCTGCTTGATGAGAGCCTCGGAAGCAATGAAGGCATCGTACTTGCGAGCAAGCTTCTTGATGAGCTTCTTGTTCTTGTTGAGCTTCTTCAAGTCATCGGCGGACATGGCATCAACACCACCGTGCTTGGCTCGGTCAAGATCGTGGGCATCACCGAGAATGCTGATGAGTTTGTTAGTTTTATTCTTCCATCCTGAATGTCTCGCAACGAGCTCTTCGAGGTATCATACCAGATGGACATGTTAGGGCGAGGGACGCTGGGCAGGCGAATGGTGCCGCTGAAACGCTTGTCACGCTGAGGGTCATAGTTCTTCAGGCCGATCTGAAGCTCAACGGTCTCAAGGAAGTTTCGCTTCTTGGTCTCGTTGGAGTACTCAAGGAGCTCTCCGCACTGAGTTCGGACATTAGCTATATAGCAGTCAGCATTCCGCTTGGGTTGATCGTTGACAAGAGGATGAGAACTGAAGCGATCTCATCCTTCGGAGTGGTATATCGTACCGACTGTGATTTTCGACATTTTGGCAGTCTCCCAATAGATAGGCGTATAATCTAATGGTGGTCAGAACTTGGGTTGAGGAAGGCAAGAATCTCGCGGGCAATTTTTTCGATTTAGTGGAAAGTGCGTCCCAAGGTGTGGGGCTCGGGGCAAAATTTTCTCACGAGATCTTGCACGTGACCACTTTAGCTGGAGAGCTACCTTCAGTTTACTGGACGTCAAGCTTTTGCGACGACGGATTGATCAGGTGTAGGTGATTCTAAGATAATTTGGACTTGGTCAGGGTCTTGAGGATTTAATTGTCTGTCTAGACATTAAAAGCCACAAGTGTGCCGTATCATTGTTCATAATCACGAAAACACCACCAACATGAAGGATACGTCCCAGCAAGTTGACGACTTAATCGCCAACTCGAATCATATCTCAAAATGGGTCGAGGAACAACCAAGTGAAGACCAGGCAAGGTGCGCAATTCTTCCAAGACCATTTTGATGTAAATATTCTAAGAAAATCATCTGTAGTTGGGCTCAATCAATCTTTGCAAAACTTCTTGAAGGTGCTTCTCAGCCCAGAGGAGCTTCAGGCAACTCGTGTGTAAAACTCTGCGGTTTTGTTGAACAATCGTCAAAGTCGCACTCTCAGGCTCTTAGACTTTGGGCGTATTCTAGAGATGTCACTATCAAGCTCTTCAACTTTTACGTTGAGTGGAATGAGTCGGATAATCATCGTTCTATGAAGCTGGTTCTCGATTTGCTTCCCCAGCTCATCAGGAGAAACCCAGATGAACAAGCTGGCCAAGCGACCAAAGCAGCAATCTTGAATAACCTGGTATCAATCGTCACAGGAAAGTCATCTAAGCCTTTGGCCAAGTCTGCTATCAAGGCGCTGGATCACCTCGTTACCAAGGATATTGTTACCCTAGATGAGATACGGTCCAGCTTCGCCACCCTTCAACAGAAGAACTCCTCGACCGATCCTCTCGATCTGTGGAAGTTGTTCATCTTTGAACTGTTCCATTGGATGACACTTCATTTTGTGTGTCCCACGGCCGGACGATTCATTGTCTGTTTATATCGCGGTCTACGAGGTCAAGACCAACAAGAAACACAAATCCAGCTAAGCATCGAGACATGGCACAAGTGGCTACTTGAGGCCGTCAATGAGGAACCTTCTATCCTTGAGTCTGTGAAGAACTATATTTTCCTGCCCCTTTTCAAGGCCGACAAGGCAGAAGCCCTGGGTTTCCTGAAGCGAATGAACGAACATGAAGCAGTTTCCGCAGGTGATGAGATAGATCTCAACCTCCCAGCTCTGCTGCAACTTGCAGCTCTTGAGATTGGCAAGAAGGTTGGATTGGTGGAAGAGCCTGGTAAGTCTACGGGTATGGTATCACGGGCACGTACTAACAATAACCAGCACTCGGCGACGACAAGTCCGCAGATAGTGACTCCTCAATCGTCCTCGATGAAAAAGTGCTGGAAAGTGTTCTGGCTCACCCATCCCATGAAGTCCGATCACTGGCTCTGTCACTTCTGATGAGCTCGCCATCAACAACAAGGCCGTACTCATCTACAGCTCTAGCTCTGCTACGCAAGCATCTGGCAACGTACTTTGCCGACTCAGACGCCAAGTTCCGAAACGAAGTGGCTGGCAAGGTACGGGATATGTTTAAGAGAGTTCGTGGTGCTATATTCGTGCTCAAAAAGAGCATCCCAAGAGCAGCTGCGCGGAAGCAAAAAGAACAGCCAGGGCATGCACAAGAGCCCCAACATATTCTGTATCGAACCAACCTGATTTCGCTTCCGGAGGCTCAGCTGACCCACTGCCTGGAATACCATGAAAAGTTTCTTTTTTGGTACATCGACTTCTTGTGCAGCGAGCTAACACCCACTGCGTCTTATCAACGGCACAGCGCTTCGCTCAAGGCGGTGACTTTCATCCTTCGAATGGAGGGAGAGAAGTCAAAGACATGGGAGACTCCGGATGATCAGACGCTGTTCTTTGACCAGTTTGGTGCATCATGGCTACGAGCACTGTCCGACCTGATCATGGACCCCTTCGACGATATTCGAAGCCATGCAGCTACAGTGCTGAAGTGGATCTTCTCGGACAGCCGTTACAAGAATTTCCATCTCATGGCCCAACAGGGCAGTATGGACCCTGCCGAAGAGCTCGCTGAGTTGTTGAAGCGATCTGAAGACCTTGCTCGTAAGACTGCTCGAGCTGATCATTCAGACGGCGTTGCCAGAGTATCACAACTACTGTATCGATTCTCCGGGGAAGAACAGCAACGAGTTGCCCTTCTATCAAAGCTTATTGGTGGTCTCGAAGAAAGACTGGCTGTGGCCGAGAAAGACCTTGGCAGAGCAGTGCTGGATGCACCGCTTCATGGAGATTTTGCATCTCTTTGCTACATGTGGCAGGTAGTTTCAGAGCTTCAGTTTTCCGAAAGTGAGTTGCAATCTGTACAGACTCTTCAGGATACTCTCGTTTCTTGCTGCGAGCGGGTTTGGGCAGCGGTTCGTGACATTCTCTGCGATGACTCGCCCGAGGGTCACCTTCCCCAGGAGCTGGAGGAAGTCGATGGGCTCGACACAAAGGATGTGCTCAGTTACAGCTTCAGATCGGTCCACGAAGCCAGGTCAGTTTCCGTGAGAAGTTGTTTATGTATTTCTTTGACTAAGATGTGGCAGCAACCTTATGAGAATCTTGATTCTCTCTATCAAGCAGCGAACTCGTCCAGGCAGAATCTGCCCTTCGAGAGAGGCATATGAGAGAATAGGGAACCTGTCCTTCACGCAACTTGCCAGCCTTCGACATCGAGGTGCCTTTACTACCGTCGCCCTAACCTTTTCAACATGCTGCCAGCTAGTTAAGCATCTGGACCAGGGCCCAGATGGCGACGCAAGTGGCACAACTCTGCTCGAGCAATGGTACTCGGTAAGTCAAATATTCCTTTCAGCCTCCCCTATTCCACAAACAGGGTATTTCGATAGCTGAAGGCAGGAGAGCTAACTTATCAAAGGGCACATTAGAAGCGATCAATGCCCAAGTATCAACTACTCGACGGTCTGCTGGTATCCCTGCCATGATGACCGGTGTTTTATCTGCCAACGCCGCCAATCCCTCTTTTGAGCAAGTCATGACAGAGCTTATGAAGATCGCTAGCCAAGAAGCCCGCGTTACCGAGACAGATGGTTCGAACCTACCTCAAGTTCACGCCTACAATTGCTTGAAGGAGATCTTCAAGAGCTCCTACTTGACATCCATAGGAAACAAGTCTGAGAAATTCCTCCCGCAATGTCTCGAGCTGGCAGCGAACGGCCTCAAGTCTGAGCTTTGGGCAATTCGGAATTGTGGTTTGATTCTTCTTCGCAGTCTCATTGATTGCCTTTTCGGTTCTCACCAAAGCAAGGCTACCATGGAGGCAGGTTGGGATGGAAAGGCCAACCGCATTGCTTACCACCGATACTCCTCTCTTCCCACAACTCTACTTCACCTCCTCAAGTCGGGTCACCAGATGATGGCCTCTATTGCTGCAAGCTCAGCAGCGGCAGAGTCAGTGTTCCCAGCCCTTGATATCATTCGAAGAGCAGGTCCACCTGAGGTCCTTCGTGATGAGCTTCAGATTCATATTGCCAAGTATTTGGCCAGTCCTGTGTGGCACGTTCGAGAGATTGCCGCTCGGACGCTTTGTTCATGTCTCCTTCATGCCCAGTGGCTTGATTCTATCACTAGTTTGGCCGCAGAATCTGTTCGTTCTCAGATTGGAAATGTCCAGAACCATGTTCATGGTGTCCTCCTGGCACTTAAGTATACTATAGACCGACTGAGCGAGGTTATGCCCGAACAACTCCAACGTAAGATGCACCATACCTCTGCACCAGACTATGACTAACAGAAGAACAGAGGATACACCTAAACTATCTGGATTCCTGATTGAGTATTGGCGTGAAATTCAAATTCTTGACTCCCCAGAAATTCCCGCCGCCTATCTCGAAGTCGTGAACTTGGTACGAGCTCTGCCTAGACCAGGTGCCGTCGAACGTCTCCATTTCGAGTTCCCAGCCTTCAACAAGAGGGAGGGCGCTCTACTCAGGGCGCAGCGTGTGATACACGAGGTGCACTCCATTGCCGAGGGCAGTGGTCAGATCGATGACCTCAACGCCTTACTTCTCAGCAAGACTATGGGTGTCAACACAATTGTCGCCGGTCTTGAGACGATTCCCAAGCTTTGGAATGTTTCTCGCCTGTCAGAGCAAGAGGTCAACCAGTTCTGCAACCTCTACCGTGACGTTTGCCTCAAAATCGGACCTGCAGAACCTCGAGTTATTGCTTTACAAAACCTTACCGACATCCTGGATCAAGTTATTAAGTGTAAGAATTTTGGTCTTGTATCGGCAGACTTGCTGTCAGAGATCTGGAACAGCTTGCCCTTGAGTCTCCTTAACCCAGCACTGGCAAACTCCATCATCAGAATTAGCGGCTCCATCACAGCCATCCTGAGCAAAACAAAGGCTGTATCCGGTGAAGGCATCAAGAACTGGGGCCATATGGTCGCCGACTCTGGTTTGGACGACAAGGTAAGACAAGAACAATGCTGGGTACCTCGACATGATCGCTGACTGTTTCAAGGATTTCGATACTCGTCTTGCTACCGTTGAGTCGCTCTGTTCTTTCTTTAACACTGTAGAAAGAGATGAGTCTTGGGCTGGCGAAGAACATGTTTCGGCCATCCTTGCCCTATACGACTCACTTAATGACGACGACGACGATATTCGCGACACTGGTTCTGCGGCTGTCAAGAGCATCCTGGGACAAGCTCTCGTCCCTATTGAAGCTGCCAATCGTCTTCTCTCATGGCTTACCAAACATTACTGCAACAACCAGACATTCCGCCAGATAGTCGTGCGTCGAATCATGGGTGATTCCAGATACCCAAGCCCTGAGCTGAACGTTATCTCTGTCAAGGATCAACTACAAGAGGCGATGAAGTTTGATGACTCTCTTTTCGTAATCGAAGAACAGAACCTCTTCGTTGACGAGGTCAGAGAGACACAGAGATGGATCTCTGTCTACGAAAGCCTTGAATGGGAGCCGAACGACCCTGCTCTCGAGGCATTAACGACTTGGACAAGCGCGGGATTAGAAGCAATGCACAGTCTGGTAAGCCAAGAAGATGGTCCTCTCGGATATGGATCCAAGCCAGAGGTCTTTGCCATCTTGTCGCGGGTTATCCGTACATCTGCCGCCTTGACAAGGCATCATCCCGATAACGAGCTTCGTGAGAGCATCGACAAGTCAACCGGAGCTCTACACCTTGGGAATGGGCACATATCAGGTCTCTTGTTGCAGCCTGTCGAGAAGACGACACAAGGATAAGAACATATACTGAGAGAGAAAAGAAAAAAGTAATGATTTGATGCTATTTATGTTTAATTGAAAGCAGTACCCCTTCAACGCCTCGCAATAAAATAGCTGGCCACGCGTGTACCGTATGTGAATAGTTGTTATCATAATATCCTCCCCCTTTATGCCTTGGAGCCAGGAGCATGAGATGCGGCAACTCAAACCTCCGTACTGGCTCGCTGTAGGCTCTTAACAGACTGTGCTGGAGAATCAGTACTGTCCAGCAGTCCATTCTTACCCAGTTTGCGGACAAGCATTGTATTCTGTGCCTGTAGCTCTCCGACTTGTCCCTCGAGGATTTCAATCTGACGACGAGCAACGTCTCGCTCAGCACGGACGCGCTCAAGCTCAAGCGAAAGGTTGTTCTTGTCTTCCTGCTCAGCCGCCTTGCGTCGTCGCTCTTCAGCCTTCCGTTGATCGCGCTCACGCTTCTCTTCAAGTTTCTTCATTTCACGTCGATACTTTTCCTCCTGCTTAGCCACTTCCTTCTCATGCTTCTCGCGCAACTTAGCTAACGTAGCGGCATCCTTCTCTTTATCCCCCATAAGTTTGCTTTGCCGACGCTCTTCAAGACGAGCCATCTTCTCATCAAGCTTCATCTTCTTGTGCTCAAGCTTCCTAAGCTCTTTGTCGGCCAGTGACTGTTGCGGGTTGGAACGAGAAGTTTCGGACTGCGACTCAGCTAGGCTGCCGTTTTGATTACCCTCAGCGGTAACACTCTTCTCTAACGCAGATGCAAAGCTTCGAATAGAAGAGGTGTCACTATCGTCTTCATGTTGTTCTTCAGCAATGATGGGAGCATCGGATCCACTTTCATCTGAAGATTCCATGTCTGAACCAGTTCCCCAAGTCTTCAGTAGGCCAGTAGGAATGTAGGAGCTGGCAGCACCTATGGCACCAGCTATAACTCCATATAAGCCATTGCTGCCAGGGAACGGGTCGTTTTGGTCTTGAGATGGAGAGACAGTCTCAACTTTGTTCGCCTCAATATTAGTAGTGGCTGCTTTAGCGGAAGACTGTTTCTTCTCTAACGCAGGTACCTCAGTGCCAGTGGCCGACTCTTTGGTTTCAGTAGTCTCTTCAGACTCTGCAAAACCGTGTGCCGCCTTTGAAGTTACCCACTTAAGGAATTTTCCAGCGTCGCCAACGATTCCTGGTGGCGTTCCCTTCTCGATTAAGAAGCGCGGCACACTGCCACCAGGGTCACTACGAGTCACCATAAGCCACTCAATAGCCGTAGAAGGTTCGTCAAGAGGCATTGAGCCGTGTCCTTCGCTACCGGGTTTTGGAACTGGTTTCTTGTTTTCGTCTCGTTCAGTCAAATCGGCCGACGAGAGAGATCTCTTGGAAGCAAAGTTGTCGACAGGGACTTCACGGATAATCTCAACTGATTCGTAGTAGCCACGAATGATACCCTGACGAGGAGGACATTCGGGGTGCTCGCAGGGTTTCGATACTATCATATACTGCCGAAGAGGGTGGGATCCCTGACCAGGGTTCACGGAGGTCTCGGAAGTCAAAAGCAGAGTTACAAAGTCTCGTGGGGCGGTTGGGCCAGGAAACTGAGCGGAGAGTTGGAAGACTATTGGATGTTAGTTGTAGTTGCATCGAATACAGATCGCATGACTTGGCTCACCTTGCAACTGGCCATGATCACCGATGGTCTTATCCTCAACCCGCTTATCGGCACCAATACCACGAATGTTGCCGCTGCCTGGAGCACCTTGAACCTTCATCGTCTCTTGGAACTCGGCCGAAAGACCCTTCTTCCAGTCATCAAACGAGAGCCCCTCATGTACACTCCTCCTGGCGAACCATGCGCCTCGTCCATCCTTGGCGCTGAGCTTGTAGACGTTGATTCCGAGAGGGTTCTCTTTGGCGTTAACCTTGATTTCCTTCCACTCTTTCTGTAGATTTTGCGACTGACTGATAGCCTCAGCCTTTTGTCGTAGTGTCAGAGCTCGCTTGGCCTCTGGAGCTGAAGCCGCTGATTCTGTCTTGGCGCGGGCGCGACCTCCAGAGCTAGGAGGTTCCTTTGATGCTGGGTCGGGGATAGATTCTACAACAGTCTGGACCTCGGAAAGGATGTCGGCGAGGAAGTCGTTTAGATCTTCTTGGGGAACCTGCTCCCACTCGACAGGGCCCATAGCCCCGAGAGGTTCATGGTGATTTCCCCCCATAGTTGAAGATACTTGTTGTGGATGTGGTGGATGGTGGGTGGTGTAAGATCCAAGAGTAGCAAGCAACGTGCTTGGTTACTGGAAAGAGAATTAGAGTATCCGTATCGTAAATTATTATAGAACCGTTGAGATAAAACAAGGAAGCAAGGATTCGCTGGGCGTTGAAGATATAGACGTCAGAAATAGCCCAAGATGATATATGGCCAAGACGACCAAACCAGATAAAGAAAGAATCCAAGAAGGCCTTTTTACTTATTCGGACTCAATGGGTCATGATCAACTGCCGTCATTCCGGCTCATTGACGTCACCTTAGCCTCTAACCTCCAGTGGCCAAGCCCTACGCTACCACTATAACTTAGCGCCCGGAGAGGAGAGCGACCCGCTGCTGGACGGACGCTGGGCTTACTTTATTCGGAATCCTCGGATATAGACTGATCCATAGAAGCTCACCCCGGACACCCCGGGTCTTCTTCTCTACTGTACGTCTCAGATGCGAAAAAGAAAGAATAGATTATGCATATATAATAATACTGCAGGTGCATATATCCAATGATAAATAAGCAACTTCTAGAACAATCTAAACATTATTTTTCTAGCATACCGAGTCCGCGGCGTTCGATGACAGATGAAATTCGCCTTGTAGAAGCGGGCGGGTGGGAGTTCTATTCACCTCTCGACTATTTGCGTATACAGCTACTAAATACTATTACTCTGCTACTCGTATGTGGCTGCTATGTTTGAAGTTTACAGAATAGACAACTTTCGCTCCTTCATCACAACCTGATAGTCCTGCTTACAGCTTCCGCAGTAACTATCCCGCCACTGCTCAAGGACCTGCCGTCTCTTAGCCGATATAGGCTCCATGACCTTCTGTGACCCCTTAGATCCTTTGCTAGTGTCGGCTCCTTTCTTGCGTTCTTTCGTCTCGTCTTGTTGCTCGAGCATAGTATCCAACTCGTCACAGAGGACCTTCTCGTCGACTAGCCAATTCTCCCACTCCGATTGGAGCATCTCCCGCTCGATACTGTTGACCACTCTCATAGCCACCAGTAAATCATGTCGATAAGTTCCTAGACGCTGTCTTGTTCGTCGAAGTCGACGCGCTGTAGCACGGCTCGTAGGCGAAGACAAACTAGCACCGGCATCTTCCCATGGCGTGTCCATGTCTGTAGTGTCCAGTAAATCTTTGAAAGTTGAGAAGCACGTGCTATTATCAGGGAAAGAGAGAGCTTGGTTGGTCCCAGACGCCTCATGTAGATCAGCAAAGTAGATAGCTTTGCTCATCATCGTATTCGGCCGGATACCGATGTTTTGCATAAACCCTGCTGCTCTCCTCTCTTTCCACCAAACTGACGTTTCGCTCGAAGTCAACAGCAGGTTGGTTAGAGTGCTGAATGCAAGCAGCGCCAGGATGATCCATTGGGCAGTGATCAAGTTAAATACGTTACGCAGCACAGCAATAGCCCACATGATGACTGATGATACTGCACTCTCTCCAAAAGATCGAATCGTTTCAAAGACCATAGTCGTCAGAGTCCGTGGCTTGATGACTTGCTTCTTAGTGGAGTCTGTCGAAGCAGGTGAGAAAACCACGACTTCGGTCTGCTGCCCAATTTGACCATACACCTGGATAGCTCTGTTTGTTCGGCTTCGCGTTCCAAGCTTGCGAACCTGATCCGTGGCAACTTCAGCCAGTTCCTCGGCATCACTAGCAGCATCGTGGATTGCCTGACGGTCAATCAAGTTTTTGGAGAGGGCCGGGTTCTTTGACCAGTCTGTCTTGGTGTAGATGGCCAGCTTACACTTGGATTTGGCCACGTGTGTGATGACAATCTTGGTCACAACCTTGAACCAGCTTGAGTGAGGCAAATGCCAGGCTGTTTTGACGTGCGTCACCACGTACGTAACGTGGTCACTGAAGACATCGATGATCTGGTAGTCGTTGACATCGGCAGTCTTTGACCGACCCAGAACGTCTTTGTAGTCGACTTTGAACTGGAAGTCACGTCTCATTCTTCCCTGATCCACCAGCACCCACGGTCCTTGAGCGATCTGCTGAGCTCGGCGCTCAAAGTAGAGCTTTGGAAACACAAAACTCTTGTCACCAAATAGTACATGGAAACAAGACTTGGCGCTGATTTCAAAGTGTCGCTCAGCAGCCATTTCTTTCATGCCTTCTGGCTCATAGATGACAGGGCGTACTGGAAGGTGTAGCTTGTGGTTATGTCGTCCTCGCGATCTTGAGGGCCGCAGGGGGGGACTGAACTCCATACGACGAGCAACTGGCCGTCCAGTTGACGTTCCGTCATCCATTGGTGTGTTTGCCGAGACCTCTTCCCAGCTTTCCACACTAGGGCTTGGTCGGTCATACTCCTCCTTTTCAAGATTAACCAATGCAGTGATGGTGGCCTCGACATCCATCGGCTCCTCGGCTTGAATATCATCAATCAATAGGTTCAGGCGAGTATGAAGGAGTCCGAGGTCTTCCAAGAATACTTTGATAGTGATTCTGGTATAGCCCGTCTCGTTCGCATTCTCATTGAGGTGTAAGAAGATGAAGTCACAATCCCTTCCAGGGGCTGCCGTCACTTCACTAATAATATCAAGGCTGATACTGTAGGCAGTAACGAGGCCGATCTGTTGTCCGTAGAAGTACATGTTGTCGGGTGTAACATAGATTCGACCATCACCGGCCATATCTGGCTTACCAGGACCCCGCTCAGGCGACCCGGTCCATGCAGCTCGGAAGACAAGTACCAGCTTCTCTTCCAGGGGTGCATCTGGGAACAACAGTCTAAACTGGGCGTGTTGGGCTCTCAGTTCGGGAGGATAGTTTCGAGGGAAATATTCGCCACCCTCCTTGTGCTGCACACTTTGTCCTACTGTGCTTCCTGGCACGACAACACCTATAGGATCATCCTCGTCGAGTCGGGGAAGCACCGGCTGAGTTGGTGCATTCATGGCACCCCAAAGACTACTTCCCCAATAATTTGCAACCACGGATGCGGGGAGCTTCCTATTGTTACCCACAGGCTGGCGGTCTCCCGCTGTCAAAACCGCGATACGACTAAGTCCGGTCATGGAGGGAGGTTTAGCTAGGGTGGCTGGGGCCAGACTGCCGACCTGAGTGTCTACGGACGGCAACATACTGGGCGTTTGTCTGAAGTTCGATGAAGCAGGTACAGAGCCTGGAAAGCCTGGAGGAAGGGTGTGACTGGTAGCCATCATATTCGCAAGTCCAGTGGTAGAAGACGCACCCCCCTGCATACCTTCGAGGCCTTGGTTGCCAAAGGTAGCCTTACGATGAAGGTCGAGCTTCTGAATAATTCTGGCAGCATGCTCGCGGCCGCTCTCGCCCTCTTCCCTGGCAAGATCTCGACTTAGAGAAGTTATGGTGCGACGAGAAAGACTGCCATTAACATCAAAGCTCTGTCGCGTGCTGAGATTGCCTTCTGGTCCAGGCACAGGCAGTGTGTTCGTGCGATCAATGTTGGGGCTTGATTCGTCGTAGATTCCAATTTGTGTATCCAGGGCTTTAGCTGAAAACTCGGGGATGCTTGGGGGAGTGATCGAAAATGCAGGATCAACTGATCCAGGCAGAGAAGCGCTGGTTCTGTTCATGGTAGTCTCGAAAGCACGCTTTTTGGTGACTTCGAATACTTCCAGCCATTCTGTAAGCTCGCCCTGCGTTTCAGCTTGGAGCAGAATAGTCTGGCTCTTTGTTTTGACCTCAAAACAGAAACGTCTATCCTCGGCAACTGCTGGCTTTGCGTTGCAGAGCAAAACTCCGATTTCGTCACCTTGTAGGACTCCCAAAGGTCCGGGTATCAGCCAGCCAAAGATGCCATCACGACAGTAGTACCACCTCCTGATCCAAGTATGTCTTGCTGGCTTTCCTTGGAGGACTCGGAGAAATAACCATCCCTGCTTTTCGGACACAACAGTGGCGCCCTCCTCAAGGCGCATGGTAACAGGGCCACGACTACCGAGAAAGGGGACAGTAGAAGTACTGTAATCTTCAAGCTCGCGGGATGGCTTAAATCCTGCGAGGGCGTTTTCTCCAATTTCTCTTCTGGCAGATTGCAACTCCCGTCTAAAGACCATCTCGGACGCTCCCATTTCATTTGACCAGCCCTGGATACGCTCCATCTCCTGGTTCCAGCGGCTGGTATCGCCAGCACCTTCTCGAGTACGTCTCAACTGGTTCCATCGCTCGCTGGAAATCTTAACCAGCAGTTTGTCCATGCTGAATCGCAGCTGAGGTGCAAGTTGGCAGTAGTCCATCGATGCTTTGAGGTAAGACTTTCGTGTCTCGAATACGGCAAACGCATCTTCACGCAAAGCTGATGGCTCCTTTGTTTTGGATTGACTGACATATCGAGCGAGAGTCGAGTCGAAGGTTCGCTGTGCCTGTTCCATAGCCCTCCTGCACTCCTTGAAATTCCTAAGGTCACCCATGATAAACTGTCGGATAGGATCGACAACTGAACCGTCCATCTTCTTCATTGTGCTAATCATCTGAATCCAATACTCGCGCCATCCATCACCCACTCTCTTCAAAGCCAGAAACGTATAATCATTGTCGACAACACCATCGGACACCGAGGGCATCGTTTTGACAAGAAAGGTATTGATCGTCTCCTCAAGGGCGAGGATATCGTGCAGGAGCTTCGAGGTCGACTGGGCATATCCATTAAGCCATTTCTCGATAGCATCAACTTGATCGCCAAAGTTGGCAGCGGTTACTCGAAAGGTTGGGGAGTCGAGAGCTGCTTCATTGAGGCCGACGGGGATGGCGCGGCCAGCTTGGTTGGCCGCAGCTGGCGGAGAGTCAGGTTGTGATTCGGGCATTATAAGAAATAATTATGTTTGATCGCCTGACGACAGCTTCAGTTGCCACTGAGCTGCAGTCTTTATGGCGCAGGGAAGAAGAAAAAATTATATGACGGTAAGAAGATGAGAATGGATGGATGGAATGATGTTGACAGTCATTGTAATGTAAGGTCAGGGACCTGAAGGTTGCGTTGACGTAGCACACCCATGTCATGCTGCGCTACGGAGACGCTGCGCCCATCTGCGAACCCCCACACGGCGCCTAGGTCAGACCGTCAGAACCACCGGAAACGGGTCTGGATAGAATACGCGGACTCGATACGATAGGTAACCTGGCTAGCCTCGTTTTCCATGAACTGTATTCCCCTGAACTTACTGTTCTACCAGGAGAGGGAATGCCAGTAATTCAAGCCACCACATACGCGAGATCACCTCAAATGGAACTTGGCATTTCACATTTACATCCACATCCGAAATGGCCATACAAGCGACTTGTATTTTGTTGACTCGATGTGTCGTGCCTGCTCATAACTATATGTCTCGAGAGAGAAGCCTTGCAGCCATCTCACACCGACTCTACCCAAATACTAACAAATCTTCAGGCCGGGCATTGCTCTGCCCATTCTGGCCCTCACGATCTTTTAGTCGCCGTGCCGCCGCTATCCTTCAATTTTAATGGTTGGGCCTACCAGCCGTTAGACCTGACATTCTGGTTTCTTGAGGTGCAGGAATTGGAGGGCTCTGTGTACCTCTATTCCCGTCGATCATAACTCAAGCCGTCATCATTGTGCGAAGCGGACTGGGTCGCGATGCCTGGCGGGAAGAATGGAGAGGCGAGAGACTGTCCCTCTCCACCAAGCGCTGTTGGGCGATTGACATCGGCGCGGCATCGGTCGACCTCTGCGCCTCGGGGCGCATGGCACTGTTGTTGTACGTGGACGGATGAACTTGAGTCGATCCCTCGCTGGTCACGAGGGGATCTGCTGGTCAATCTAGTTTTCCGTTAGACTCTAGACGCTTGTTTCATTCATGGTATTGTCAACTCACCGTCGTAGTACTCATCATCGTCGCTCACTTCAGCAAGCTGCTCGAAGTTGACCTTGTATCGGAGAATACCGCCGATGCCACCGAAACCCTTGACAAACTGGTTGCCCTCGGTGGATCGATCAGAAACGAACTCAAGCGTGGTACCGAAGTCCTTGTAATGCTCAGCAATCCATTCAAGGAAGGACTCCTGAGAAACGATCTCCATCTCCTGGCCAGTCTCCTTGTCGAGGAACTTGTCACGGTTGCTCTGCTCCTGCTGCTTGGTGGTGTGGAGGACGATATCGCTGCCATTGCTGTCCCTGAGGACCCAGCGGGTGATTTCGAGGTTCTCAAAGACGATGAGAGTCTCGACAGCACCGAGCTCAAGGGCCTTGAGGGTATCATCAATACTGTAGCAGACCTTGCCGGTATCTTGGCTAATTTCCTCGAAGTACTTTCCAATGAGCTTCTTCTCCTGGATGAACTTGACGTTGCCAAGGGTCTCGGAAGACAGCTCGATGGCCTGGTTGAAACCGTTCTCACCACCGTAAGAAACATCCACAACCTTAATAACCTTGGTCGCCAGACGGTTATCAAACAAGTCGGAGGCGTTAAGGTCGTTCTTGAAATCGGCGGAACCAGCAAGGATAAGACCAGCAACGTTGACCTTGTCGGCCGTGATGAAGTTCTGGACAGCCAACTCGGCAACCTTTCGGACGTAGTTGTGACGCTTTTCCTCTCGCAGACGAGCAAAACGGAGAGCGGACTGACCACCACGGCCGTGCTTCTTGGGAAGATCGACAGAGAACTTGTGGACAATCTCACGGGTGTTTCCACTCAGAGTAGCGAACAGGGCACCGTTACCATCCATGATGATAAAGCCGAACTTCTGGTCGGACTCGAGCAGCTCAGCCAGAGCCTCAGTGTGGAACTTGTTGTCGCACAGGTAAAGGGAGGTGTTGATGGGCTTGAAGGGCTCGAAATCGATGTTGACCTTTCGCTCCTTTCCTTCCTGGGTCAAGATTTCACCACAGTAGACGACCAGACCATTCGGGGGGACCTTGTTGTACAGCTTGAGACGCTGTTGGGTCGAGGTAATGGCGGACAGGACGGACTGTCGGTTGACTCGAGACTTGATGTTGGAGGCGGTACCCTGGAACATTGTTAGTGTCGCTGCAGCGGGATTTCGTTCAGGTGAGGAAACCGTACGTATTCTTCAGCCAACATCTTGGCAGCTCGAGAGACTTGATCCTTGGGAGCTGAAGGGCATACGGTTAGTGCGTTGTTTCGAGGTCGAGGTCGAAGAACATGACGGCTTACGGATGATGAGCGAAATCATTGAGGTTCCATTTCCTCTGGCAGCTTCAAGACGCTTGATGAGCTTCTTGACCTTCCAGATCTCAATCTATTGTGGACGTGGTCAGCCATTGTTGTTGTTTTCTTGCATTTGAAGGATGATGGCAGAGTCTTTAATTTCTCGATCGCGGGGCAAACACCACACAAGAAGCGAAAAGAAGAGGGGCAGTGACAGTGAAACTTACGTTCTTCTCGGCCTCGTTCGCCTGAGCGTCACTCATTTTGGCGGTTAGGACTTGTCTCCGACCTTTTTGCGAGTGTTTGCTTTTCTTTGGTAAGGTTTATGCCTCGCAAGCTAGGAGTCGTTGAACTATTAAGTCTGGACTCTGGAGCCTGAAGATCTCCCAAAAGTTGGATGTTAGAGCCAGATTTTTTTCGCACAAGGAGCGATGACCTAACGTAGAGACCAGCACCCACAGGCAGCCAATCCACTTTGATCATCTGCTGAACCGGTAGCCACTCACCTGCTGAGTTTCACGGGGCTAGGTACTAACAGTACCTGTAGGTACACTCAGGAACGAGGCTGGGTTAGTGGGTAAGGTAGTAGGTAGTTTGGCTACGTAACCTTGATTTTGCTTAACACGCTTAATATTTCCAGGTACCCTGACCATGGTTGTGTTGGATTTATTGATACCCGAGTGGGTCCCATAATCAATGCTGACTGATATCTAGGTCTGAATCATGGCCTGACCTATAAACTATTTATACAGCCATTCATGAATATGATAGGATTAGGTACTGATTCATTCAAACATTATTCACAACATAACTCACTTATCAAAGTTTACGAGAAATCCCTTAGTACCTAAACAATATTGACGACATTAGTACTTGTCGAGTTAAACGAGAGTGGTTATACCACAGCAACAATAAGCTGTCACTGAATCACCGACTGCCATGATGACAATACAGTTGGTTTATCAACATCAAAAGTAGACATTACATTATATCTCTCTGCCTTTGGTGGCCGACATTTTTTTAACTCCTGATCTTTCCTTAACAAATAAGTATTAGCGGAGATTCTCGCAATAAGAAACTCTGGTTTAACAGGCACTTTGCTATGGATCTATCGGCTTTCTTCTTAGTCAAGTGTACGCAATAACTCAACAATGCTTATATCCGTCTTTCCCTCTCAATTCGTTCTCTTCTGACCTTATTAATCTCTCGTATTGATTTAATAAGATCAAGGATAAAGCCGATAAACACTATTCCAGCCGCTGCTGGCACAGCAAATTGATAAAAGAAAAAGACAAGCACAATAAATCCTGCCGACAAGAATAGAATAATGCAAATGGCGGCATATGTCGCCCCTTTAGCACTTCTCAGGGCTACATCAAGAGTGTCCGTTGACCGTTCAGAATGGGAAGGGAACTGATCATTGTTAGTCACCCTATGGCCAGCTGGAGAATGTCAGAGAGGATTGCACACTACTTACTATTTTGCCTTCTTCAATCTCCAATGTGTTGGTTCTTCTCAGTGCCATCCATCTTGTCATTGAGTCGACCCTTGTACCGAAACCGCCATTGCCAGAGAGATCGGGCTGACTGTAAGATGCAGAAGCCATTGGCATCAACGAGTTCCCACAAGACTCTGGCATATCCCCATGGATGATGCCTGTTTGTTTCCCCTGCGTCCTCTGCAGTAGACCTCGATTTGGCAAGGCAGCAGAGTCTTCCATTAAAGGGGGGCTTTGTACCGAAGCAGGCTGCTTCTTTATCTCTGTTTCGATCTCTATTGCTCGGAAGTTTTTGATAGCTACAAATAATCAGTGGTTGATCGGATGGTACTAAGTTGTATACTTACTGCCAACTTCGAGAGCAGTCAGAGCGATGACTATCAGCAAGAGCATGGGCAAAATCTGACCGAAAGTCGCAGAAAAGAGCGGTTTGGTGTCAACACCTTGATAAAAGAGGCCAATAACCAACGTGTATAAAGCCACACAGAACGTGCAAATGGCAATCAACAACTCTAACAGAACAGATCCGACTATCTCTGTAAGAACCGGTGGCACAACGATGTGCAAAGCCTTCCAAAAGCTATCTTGTTGCTCCAATATCGTAGCATTCTTGCGATTGTCCCGCCGGATCTTGTCTTGCCGGCGTTCAGAGAAGGTTTGAAGATCTGATTGGCCTTGATGGCCAGAGTAAATCCAGCGCAATATTATGTTCTTCGATGCTCTGCTCTCCATAGTGTATCGGAGTGAGTTATCTAGCCTGATCGATCGGAAAGCGTTCCAGTAGACAAATATCAATAGAACAGCTATCCCGAAGGATCTGGGGACCACGTAATTTAGACGAGGTTGTGTAGGATAGTGAAGTCCGCAAAGGAACAGCATATCGCGTGGCTCGGATACTGTAAGGAACTGGAGAATAAAGGTCGCTCCAAGAAGTCCCATCAACAACACCATGAGGGCACCACGCAAGATGGCTTGCTTGGGGTGTTTTCGGAAGTAGGATTTGAGGACCAGAAGGGTGCACAGATGAACACCTGACGATAGATACGCCAACTGGGCGCCGATGTAGAAGGAAAAGTTAGAGACACTGCAGACCTGAGCGTACATGGCGATGAGATAACACAGCCCAACAGCTAACATCTGGTCACTCAATGCAAGAAGAAGAGACTGGTATCCAAGATTGCTAGGCGCATCACTGGCCGGCTTTCTAACACCGACCCAGTGGAGGATTTTCTCATCGACGCGCATATACTGTTGCTTGGGGATTCCTCGCTTCAACACGGCCATTATGGCCACAATCACTGATATGGCGGCTGTGATGACGAATGATAAGACGACCTGTGATAAACTTGTGAGCTTGTAGCCTGATACATGGCGCAATGGCAGACCTTACCCCGATTCCATTCATATCAGGGTCTTCCACAGTCTCGGCGGGAGCATCGCATTGTAGTCTGCCATTGCAGAAGCTCATCGTGGCAAGATATGATCATTGAGATGGATGAGGAGAAGTTTATTTCAGCTATTGTGAGTACCTAGGTAGGTATGGAGAGTAGAGTTGCAACAGCAAAAGCCTAGCGGCCCTGATATTGCTGATCATCACTTGAGACCTTCCAGCCCTGTCCTTGTTTTGTACCAGATGTAGTGCAATTGCTGACAACCTAGCCACAGCAACCCAATCCTCAGGGCGTCATAAGAATTGGCCCCCGGAGCATAAGAGACGAAATAATTTGATCACCTTATGCCAGGTTAGGCCAGCATTTAGGCTACTTTGTTTCTGTAGCCTAAGTCTTGGAGGACATTTCTTGTGACACCCGCCTGCCAATACAGTTTCTATGTCATACTGCAGTACTTTTCAAGGAGCACGGATCTTCTATAGTTTCAATTGGCCAGGCGACTGTTTGTCTAGGTACCTAGGTAGTTGGGGGCCAGAATAGGAATTAGGAAGGATTCAGCTTCCAGATAACTAATGGTAATGTCGGCCACTCTGTATTTATTCATCAATAAACTTGTTTTTCGCATCTGTTGCAGAGTCATCCATCGATTCGTATTCAATGTCTTGCCTGCGGCTAGTCTGAGTTCTTACATCCATCATCCATACCAACGTCTGATCCTGTAGGGCTATTTTAAGCTTAATGGCCGCCAAGTAGATAAATCCCCGATGCTCGCCTGCAGAAGCTGCAATAGGTAACTCAAGGCTGGAAAGCTGCCTTATTTCCATGGGGAAATATGTACGGATGAACTGGTTGATTGCTGACCTTGATTGCATCTATTTATTGGCGGTTCATTTATCTCAGTAAAGTAGCAATGTAGAAAAGAAGTCTATGGAATGGTTTATATCTACCTGGTGGTAGATGATATTCTCGGACCACACCTTGTGTGATTTTGAAGCTCAAAGTACCCCATGTGCTTAGAATAAACGTACTAGTAGTATCTTTTGAATTGGTACGGACATAGAGTCCGAGTTGAATCCTACCATCGCTTGGCCTTCAGTGTAGCACATTGCTTTTGTGGGATTATTGGTTAATGTTAGAACGAACACGTCCTCTGACGCTTTGTACACCAAAATAAAGTAGCCTCGGCCTCCAACTTCAGTCTGCTTAAAGAGACCAAATTATTTTGTCTTCTACCTCCGGCGGCCGGTAACATTTTCCCCACCACCTCCACGCGCTAGTCTACCGCCGTAGCTCGGCCATGGATGCGACGTCAATCACTATCATCAACTACCAAGATCCAATTCCACAACATTTGAAGACCACCGAACTCCACCAAGTCTTCCCGTACAGACGAACAGAAGCCTATTACCATCACAAACATGGATTCAGGGCCAACGGAACTTGCGGCCACCGTTCAGGCCGCAAGCATTGAACACAACCCCGACCCTGCACTCGACGCCAACCCATCAACAGCCGCTGAGAGAAGACAACCCGTAACTCTCGAGCACGACCTTGGTATCGACGACGATGATGACGAGGAAGACATCCCTTACAGTGTGCTCCGACCCGCTCCTCGGCATTCCAACCTCCCTCCTCTACCAGACCTGCGCTTCGAGCAGAGTTACCTGCGAAGCATCTCAAAGGCCGATACTTGGTGGAAGGTGGCGCTCATAACAACAAGAGACCAGGTACATACCTATGGACCGAATACTCGAGTTACCTACATTTTCTAACGCGGTCGGCAGATCTTGATGCCCTTGACACAGGGTCTAGTGTACAATTTATTCCTCTGCGGCTGGCAACATTGGAATAGAAATGCTCGACTCCACGGCAACACGTTAGGTGCGCGAGTAAGACGCTGGTGGTGGGGAGTTAACAATTGTAAGATAAACAGATCCTCCATGGTCCCTGAGGTAAAATGCTAACAACGAGATAGGGAAGATACCTACGCATAGCAAGCGGGCTTGAAAAAAATGACGAAAGGCATGCAAATGGCACATATAGTTTCTCAAGGACAAGGACGAGTATATGTTGACTAGGTATATCCGTTCACACTAACTATCACCATGTCGTTCGAGTATCAGAAGAATTGGCTGCTCGGAGCATACGAGATGATATATCTAGTCTCCTCATGCTAGCTTAGACTAGCATTTAAGCTACTTTATTTTGGTGCCTGAAGCCTTGGAAGATATTTCTACTGCTGTACAGTAGCATGTCCATTCCCGAACAACGACGATCCCAGGTGTGTTGTTCTCTGTCTGGCATTGCTGTAGTATGGTCCTAAATAATACGGGTACCAGCAAATCCTCATACCTTCAATGCCTTGTGATCCCGCAATTCTATCCCGCCATGATGCCGGCCTTTACTATAATAATTCTATGCCATATTATTTCATCTGTTCCTTTAAACTCCAACAAAAATCAAAGTACGATCTGTCACACAATCCGCTCTCACTGGTGGTTTGCGCTGACATCGAGCGGTCGGGGAGCCGGTTGCGCATGCGTCTTTTCTGGGCTCCCTCTAAAAGCCAAAGATGTCGCATGAATAGTTCCCGGTGTCGAATTCTTGCGTTCAGCAAAATCGGGGTCTGGAATGGGAGATTGTTGCGCTGTAGGTTGAGCTTCCTTACTAGGAGTAGCTGCCGGCGCATCCTCCATCTCAACCGTTTCTCCTGAAGGCCGGGATTCTTCAGCCCCCTTGTCGGAGCTTGGCGTTGGCAGTTTGTTCCCAGCCTGTACAGTGGGCTCCAGGACATTCCGCAGTTTGGGTGGTGTGACTGAAAGCTTCACAACCAGGCTTTGGTTTTGCTCGTCCAGATCATCGTCAGCCATGGCTTCATCCTCGTCAAGCTCATCTTCTTCGTCCGATTCCTCAGGAACGTGCTCGTCAACGTCCTCTTCATCGTCTCCAAATTCAGCCTCGCTCTCTTCCTCAGAGTCACCGTCGGCATTATGCCGAGAAGTCTTCTTGGGTTCAGTCCAGCCGCTTGTACCGTGGTTCACGGCGGCCGATCTTCGAGGTCGTCCTGTTGGACCAACAGACGTCTCCTTCTCCACTTCGGAAGTGTCTCCTTGCACGCTACCAGGGGCACTGCTTCCAGTTGTAGGGTTGAGGCGAGTTGGTGCCTTGATCTGCCGGCCGCTGGCGGTGGTGAGCGGACCAGTTTCAACCGGAGTATTGGTTCCAGTGTTGCGAGTAGACCTTCGAGTGGTCGAGTCGGTCGTAAAGACATCTTCGTCGTCTGAATACGTATACTTCATCTTCTTGCCCCTGGTACGGCCCTCATAGAGTGAAAACCCTGGCTCGGGCCGCTTGAACTGTTCCTTGCGCATCTGCCGATAATCGCGACGCTTTCGTTTCTACAGGTTGTATTAGTATTATGCACGGCAGTTGAGCCTGGGTGAATCCATCTTGGTCTCCAGAGCAGAGAATAGGGGGGGGGGGGG